CCTCTCTCCAAAGGAGTGAATCTTAGGGAAGGCATGGTGAGATAGTTTCTTTCTTGATCCCCAAAAGGAATTTTTCAGGAACCTAATAGCATTTGATTAGTTTAAGTAGTGTATAGATGGGGGACAATTTCCACAGTCCCAAATTAAAGTTTCTTGCTTGTGCCCTTAATGGAAGGTCTTGGTAGTAATAGCTTGGGAATCCTGAGCTCTATTCCCTCCCATCTGCACCAGGCATTTCAGAGGGATACACCCTGTCTCAATACTCCATGTGTTGGAGGAGAGGTGAAGTGGGACTGATGCCACCACCTTCATGGACTGGAATTACTGGGGACAGCCTCATCTGCCAGCCTCAAACATACTTCTTCAGCATTTACTTTCTGATCTTATTTTCCTTAAGGAAGACATTGTCGACCTTGTCACTAAGTTCCAGACAGAGTGCTAGGGATTGAGGCTACAATCCTGAAGAAGATGCTGATGTTGCTTTGGAGGGCCCAAGGGTCTAGCAGAAGACTATGCTACGTTTAGTTGTTTCACCCACTCCCATCATTATTTCCTTCCTTTGAGCTTACTTATCCCTCTCTCTAAGAGGAATGGGTTGCTCGAGAGGATTTCTAAGATTATGAAAGAAGATATCAACCATGAGTCTGTGAGTGAAGACTGAGTGAAACTTATGAAGCCAGATCTAAGAAGAATATAGGACTGAGTGGTGATGGGGTCCTGGCCCCAGCACTTTCAATTCCTGGAGTTCCCCCTCGGCCAGTAGAGCAGGAATAAGTGGGGTCTGATGACCCCCTGGCCCAGTGGTTTGCACCCTGGGCACATTGCACACACACAGACTTTTTGGATAGCTTTGTCCTTAGGACAAGGGTAGGTGGCCTGAAATGTCCATTGTTCTTTATTTTTTTATTTCACCGAAGGAGCAGTAGCTGGGCCCCAGACCTCTCACGGTGCAGTCAGTGCTATCGCTGTCACACTTGCCACAGTGACATTCGGTGGCCACTGGGTACGTGTACAGGGAGTCTGTGTGGTGAGCACAGCCGGGCAGTTTCACTGTCTCGTACACCAGCTCCTTGAAGGTACATGCTTTCTGGATGTTTGGCCTGGCAGGGTCCTTATACACGAGATCCTGAGGAATTTAAGAAGGAGAGAGTTAGGTTACAATATTCTACAAGTTTCTATTTAGTTTAGTCAAAATGAGACAGGAATTTAAAACTGCTTGCTCTAACATTTACCCATTAAAACCCACATGAGCTTATAAATGACCTATAATGCATTTCTTAATTGTTCTGGAAATCTTACAGAAAATGTAAATCACTCTTTTTCTTACTCTCTAAAGCTATATCAAAATATTATTTTTCAAAATATAAAAGAACTTTGGATTTTGATATAGAAAAATGATGAAAAGGGAACTATAACTTAGAATTTTAAGTTGAATTTTTGTACTTGATTGGAAGCTATGTTAATGACAACTTAAACCATGAACACAGAAGTTTAATTTCTCAGAAAAACTATTTCCAAATACATTTTCCTGGTATATGTATAAAAAGTCAAAAATATATAATCTTAAATGTTAATACTTAATATGTTTACAGAAGCTCATGTAAGATTTTAAATATTCCAATGCCTTTTAGGCAATTTCATCCCTTAAAAGCTGTATACTTTGCAGGATTCTTAGTTTCAAAGGATACGTAGTTTGCATATAAGAACTTTTAAGCCAGGCAGAAATTATTTGTTCTAGCACTTTGCAGTGGAAAAATTATTTGCACTGAGGGGTGAAATTGGGGTTGTTTAATTTATTTTAATATCATCCTACCGAGTTTATATCTCAAGAACGTACAATAAATTGTACAATAAGTGGAGTTTGATCAAACTCATTTACCATCAAATTAAGTATATTTCATTTAAAAAGTTGCTATTTTCAATTTTAGTTTATAGAATGGAATTCTGCATAGATACCTAGGTGCTATAGGAGAAAAAAGAAAACAAAGTGAAAACTGCTTCTTTACTTGGATTAATGCAAGGAAGCTGTGCAAACGCAGACTAGCAACTTGCCTCTGTGTCTTGGTTTTCTCAATGCTATAATGAAGGGAGTGGGTTTGCTGATTCATTTTCATTCTAACAGTCTGTAAGAACTAATTGTGTTCTCAGCTTGTTTGCTGGCATTTGAATGCAGGCAAGCCAAGAAGACAATTTTAATAATGTGTTGTTTGTGTTTCTATGTGACTTGGAAACATATTTTGGTACTATCTCTGTGGCAAAGATAGGGCCTCAATTACAGAAATTGCCTTTTTGAGAATATTGTTAATTCCTTGATGATTAAATATATGTATGTTTCCATGTTTATCTCTCTACATGTGAAAATATAACATAGAAATAGTTTTTTGGGGAGGTGGGGGGAATGCAGAGTTGGCACATTACCAAATTGACCAGATTAGATCTGAGGCTTTCCTAAATTTACCCAAATCAAATCCAAGCCCATATGTCTAACTGATATCACAGTCATTAACCCCAATCATAATATAGACTACATTAGCTAAGGAACTCATGGCTGGTACTTAGGAAACATAAAATATTGATAAAGTGGAAATTAATGAAGCCTCCCTCATACAGACCCTCCACATCATCCCTTCTAGCAAAGCACAGAACCTACCCTGGTATAGCAGTAGCCCACACACCAAGTGGTGTTGATGCTTATGCAGAAATGGCACTCCTCTTTCTCCACTGCAATGGTGATGTTGGCCAGCTCACAGCTATTGCAGAAGATTGCTTTCCAGCAACAGAAAAGGAAGCAAAACTGGACTGACTTCATCTTGGTCTAGGAAGCAAACAATTAAGCCCATTTTAGAAACCAAGAAACCCAAAATTATGGTCATTATGTAAGTTGACTAAACCAAAAATAATTGGTCTACCCAATCTCCCCCATCACATTTTGCTTCAACAAGTTTTTTCCTTAATTTTTTTGGTTACTTCTTTGTTTCTTAAGACAATATGCCTCTTCCTCTTTCTTCATTATTTTTTTTTGTTAAAGTAGAAATACAGTATAGATCAAAACTCCAATATAACGATTTAAGTAGAGCAGTAAAGAGAGTATTACTGCTATCGTAAAGTGATTACTCTGAAGCAAGTAATTACGATAATCATATTTGTTCTTCTATTATTATTTTTAAAGATTATTTTTGTTTAAAAAGAAAAAAATTCTATACTACAAAATTATTTCTTCATTTTTAGTATCTCATAAGTATTGTTATTTGCTTTTGCCCATATTTGTTTAAAGTAAGACTATTTCAGAAGCCAGGCATATTGGTATATAAAGTCAGTTACTTACTAACAGTGATTACAATGTATTAACCATATTTAAGAAGCCAGATTGACAAACACAATTTTCCTACACAACAGTAGTGCAAAGCTCTGGATTTGTTCTCCAGGACTTGAAAAATCTGTAATTTCAAAAGTAGCTGTCACCACTTGGTAACTATAGATGCCAAGACTCACCTGTGGTTGACTGTCTTGCCTGGGGAAAGCTGTAGACTGAGTCAAGTCTCAGTTCACCTTTTATACAAAATCATGTGCAACTAACACCTAGTGGATTTGTTGAGTATTAGTATGACCAATGCTAGCCTGAAGCTTGCTGCGAGTGAATCAGTGTTTAGATAGACAGGGAGATCAAGCCTTTCTAAAGTAGTCTAAACTCAATAGATCAGAAAAAAATAATGTTACCAGAGATGATGATTTTGTACAAATTAAATTTGATATAGTAGCACACCCACTCCTTTACCTTGTCAAATTAAATATGACTCTAGATTTTTCTTTTGTATCTTTAACTCGTGGAATTCAGAATCCTTTCCAAATATTGCTTTGGCCCTGCTGAGAAAGTGCATCAAAAAGATATAGTTAATAAATTGCTCCAAGAATATACTGAAAGCTGTGGGGGAAGGAAAAAAAAGAGAGAAAGCATTTTATGATCTGATTCTTATTTGAAGTATGAACTGTATTTCTCTTTACCTCCCACGTCCAGTTCTCCTAATGTCAATCCTTATTTTTTGATACTTTAGGAAGAACTTTTTACTTTACTTGTAGTTCCCTAAATATGCTGCTGATTAATTATTCAGATTTTTGCATGGAATGTTCTTCCTTCCTGAAATGTCCTTGCCTACTCCTTGTCTCCCCTAACATGACCCTGACCCCTGGCAAATCCCCCAACCTTCAATACTCAGGGTGTTTTACCTGTCAGAGTTTAAGATGGGAGGTGAGGGAGAAATTTAATCACTACCTTCTGAGTAATTTATATACATTTGTTTTCTCTAGTAGACCATGAGCTCATTGGAGGTTGGGATTGATTTGTTTTACAAATATTGATTAATTAAGCAGTGGTACTGGAACAAAAGGACAATGGCAGCAATATTCGGATATGATGTCAGAGATGTAACAGGAGTCAAATCACGTAGAGACTTTTAGGCCAATGTAAGGGCTTTGGTTTGTACTTTATGAGTGATGAGACCCATTGCAGGATTTTCATTAGAGCAGTGACAGGATCTGATTTAGGTCTAAAAGGATCCCTCTGACTGCTGTGTTGCTAATGTAGGGGAACATAGGTAGAAACAGGAGGACCTATTAGAATGCCATTGCAATAACCTGGGTGAGAAATGATGTTTGTTCAGACTCGTGTGGTAGCACTGGAGGTAATGAGACATGATCTGATTCTGGATGTACTTTGAAAATAGAATCAATAAAACTTTCTGATGGATAGATGTTGCATGTAAGAGAAAGAAGAGTCAAGGATGGCTCTAAAGATTCTGGTCTGAGTAATTGGAAGGATAAACTTGCTATCAACTGAAATGGGGCGGCTGTAGATGTAGTACATTTGGGAAAAAGATAAGGAGCTCAGTTGAGCTTGAGGTGTCTATAATGCATTGAGGATATTATGAAGATTTTTTTTTTCCTTTTTCCAAAGAGAACGAGAAGGGCCATCGAGGAAGGTAGGGAATGGAGAGGGGAATGTGGTATCCTCGATGCCAAGTAAAAAGAGCGTATCAGGGAGGGGCGAGTGAAGACTTGGGCAAATGCTATTGACAGGTTAAGTAAGATGAGAACCAAAAATTGCACAATACATATGGCAATGTAAAGATCACTAGTGTCCTTGGCTAGAGAAGTTCCTTTGGAAGAAAAACCTACTGGTGGGTGGGGATGGGTATAGATGTTGGTAGGTGGGGAGGGGTTGTATGTGTAGATGGTGGGTGGGAGGGGTGGTGTGTACAGATGTTGGTAGGTGGAGAGGGGTTGTATGTGTAGATGGTGGGTGGGGAGGGGTGGTGGGTGAGGTTCTGGTGGGTGGGGAGGGGTGTTAATCAATTTTGCTTTGCTGTAAAGGAACACCTGAGACTGGGTAATTTATAAAGAAAGGAAGCTTTATTTGGCTCATGGTTCTTCAGGCTGTACAAGCATAGCACCAGGATCTGCTTCTGGTGAGGGCGTCAGGGAGCTTTCTTTCAAGGTGGAAAATTAAGGGGTAGCAGGTGTGTCACATGGTGAGAGAAGGAGCAAGAGAGAGAGGAAGGAGTGCTCGTGCTCTTTTAAACAACCAGCTGTTACGTGAACTAATAGAGTGAGAACTCACTCATTACCATGGGGAGGGCACCAAGCCATTCCAGAGAGATCTGCCCCTACGACCCAAATACCTACTACTCAGCCCCACCTCCAACACTGGAAATCAAATTTTGTTAATAATGTGAGATTTGGAGGGAACAAATATCCAGACCATATTAGGAGGACTAATGGGTGCAGATGCTGGTGGGGAGGAGTGGTGGGTGTAGTAGATGCTGGTGCCTGGGCAGGGGTAGTGGGTGGGGACGGGTGGTAATAAATTCTGTAGCTGGCCTCTGATTAATTTCATTTTCCCAGTAAAGTAGGAAGTAAGGTCATCATCTAAGGATGAGGAAGGAGTTACTGAGAGTTTATGAAGACAGGAAAAGATTTGCAACAGTTGCCTGAGACTGGGAGAGGCTCAGTTAACAGGGAAGGGCCCACTTGAGGTTTATGGTATAAAAATTTAACATGAGCCCACTTAGCATGGATGTGCATTTTTCTTTTGCCTTATTTAAGAGCAGGGGTTCAGGCACATGGGTGACAAAAAGTTGGATTTATCTAAGATTATCATTTCATCAAATATGTTTGACAAAGACAAAACTTTGCATAGTACTGGACACTATAAGTACTAAATCATAATACTGGACATTGTAAATACTAATTCAATATTTATGTAAGTGAATATCATAAATGTAGAAATATTCTAAAATCTGTCAGTAATTGGTAAGCAAGCATACTTTCCAAGTTATAGAATTAAAAATTAAATTTTTATGCATATTAAATGAAAGATAATGATTCCTGGAAAATTATAAATCATTTTAATTGTTATAACTATTGGTAATGCCTTGTGTTATGAAACAAACTCTTTTCATGTTACCTATGTGTATTCACAAGTTTATTTGTGTGAATGTAAATGAATTTTGTTTGAATTAATGTGTATGCAGTTGTATGAGTTCCTTACATATTTACTTTAAAATATTAATAGCTTCTTTTTGTTGAGTACCTACAAGGTCCCAAGCATTTAACTAAACAAGTTAGATGTATGTTCACAGATAAGATTTTATAATAGCCTTTTAAAGGAGTTACTATTTTTCCTCTTTGAAAGTTGGGAAAAGTGAGGATGAATGCAACCTGTAAGTAGCAATGCTGAAGTTCATATTCAGGTCTGTTTGGCTCCAAAGCCAAAGGCCACTCATTGAGCCATGGGATCTCAGTGGTCTATAGTTCTTTTCAATCCCATTAATTGGAGGGGGGGCAAGACAGAAACTATCCAAAATTTGGGCAGATATTCTAAATGTTCATATTTATATTTCTATCACACTTAGGTCAGAGATTCCCCCAAATAGCAACATTCTCCTTGGCCTGTCAAGAGGCCCCCAGACCTTTCCCTCAATTCCAAACCTCTAACAGCTAGTTCATCTCGTTAGTGTATTTCCTAATTAATGTCATTGCTCTCATTGGGGTTTTTGATACATTTTATTGATAAAAATTTAGAGATAGTTTTTATTCACCTTTGTATCCCCAACAGAAATAGAATTTCTAACACATGATAGACATTAATATACTTTTTTGTTGAACACATTGAAAAACAAATCCCTCATTGTTTCTCACTGTGCTGTGCTGGTCCATCGCCTGTTTGCTATCAAATGCATACCTTATTCTTGCTCTGTTCTACTCTCTGTTTTGTGGGGGAAAGGACCTCTGTAGGCTGCCTTTCCCACTCTATTACATTAGCAGGCTTTTGCCTTTGTGAACGGAGATTAGAAAGTAAATGGAAGGAAGAGGTTGGATTATTTCTTTCCTTTACATTCTGCTTTCTTTCCTGACAGTGACTGCATTTTCTCCCATCAGGTAGCTCCTCTCTCTGTGGTCCCAGCTTTTGTGCAGGAACCCCAGTTGTGGCTTCTGCTTCTGCCAGGTGTCTCATCTTCCGGCCTCTGGAAACTGTGTCCCTATGTCCCTGCAATGCTGTGGGTAAATGGGGCTTCCCCCTACTGTTACCGACTCTGATTGCCTTGTTTCCCCTGTCTGGCTTGCTGGCAACTGCATCCTGGAGTAACCAATTCCCTGGATTTTCTCTGTTTTACATATCAGGGGTGGTTTCTGTTTTCCTGAAACAAAACCCTCTTGCGTTTTAGTGCAATGATGTTCACTCAATATTTAACAACAAACTATTGAACATTTTTCAGGGAAATCCTATGTCAAATTCACTCTTACTGGCTTAAAGCACCTTCCAGTTCCCAAAATCACATGTAT